AAATCAAGACTCCCGGAATTTGTAGCACACATATGGAAATGTTTCAACACGCTGCTGAAGCACTGGAAGCACTATTCGTTTATGCCCCCCAATTTAGGAGACAGCTACTTGGTCAACTGACTGGAATATATATATATTTGTACCCACCTCAGAGAAAGGTGATCCAACTATCATAGCATTAATAAAATTACTGGACTAAATTAGAGAGGTTGGATGTTGAATGAATATTAAAAGCACCTGGAAGCTTTACTTCTGATTTAGAGATTTGAAAAATGTGTGCCTGTCCTGACGGAAAGCACCTTTAATTTATCGCATCATTGTTATTTATGAGAGTTTTATTTCTCAGGTGGAAAAAAGGTGATGAAAGCATGAGAATTTCTGGGTTTAGATGACCTCCAATTTGTATTCTAAGGAGCCCTTGAGGTGCAGTGGTTGACACCTTGGGTTACTAATGGAAAGGTCAGCAGTTGGAAACCGGCAGCTGCCCTGCATTGAAAAGATGAGGCTTTTACTCTCTTAGAGATTTATAGCCTCTGAAACCCACAGAGGAAGTTCTGAGTTGTCATTAGGGGCTCTACGAGTTGGACTGGACTCAATGGCAGGGAGGTGTGACTATCTGTGTTCTAGCGTTAACATTTTATCACAAGGGCTTTTAGAAGACCATGTCTATCCATAGGAAGCCTTTCCAAATCAATTCAGAAAGCAGGCAGCTATGTTCTCCATGAAAATACATTGCTATGCATGAAAAATTAAGATAGTCAAGGAGATACAATTGTGGAGAAATAGATCAGAAGTTTACATTTCTTTTGAAACTGATATATGAGTTCATCAATATATTTCAAACATGTATATTTTCTTGAAAATGCACATTTAACTTCCTATTTACATTTTTAAAGTATCACATGGGTTTTGTTATTAGGAACGCTTTGTCACCGAGAAGTGAACTGCAGTAACTCACTCCCTTGCTTCCGGGTTCTTAGTGTTGCCATACATGAATATCAAAAGTGCCTGTGTTATGATGTTGCTTTACTTCTTACTTCACACTTACAAAATAAAATATGGGCAGACATTAGTGAGAAAGGATTCGTGTAATGAAGAATGCCTGAAAAGAGGAATTTCCAAAAGTTTTCTTAGTCATTGCCTTTACTTTATAGCAGTTTACTGCACATACATAAACACACACATGAAGTGATGTGCTAGTAAAAACGTAACAGCTGACTCTCCAAGAAGTGCAACAGCTCTGATTTGTGTGGTCTGCCACTTCTCGTGTTAAAACATTCCCTCTATGGATAATTCTATTGACCTGACGTCAGTGACCTTGTACTGGCAGAGAGTACACGAATAACTCTTTGAAGCATGAAGAGCTCATCCAAGCACATGACTGCCTTCAATCCTCTACTCTTTGCTCATACTACATCTACAGACACGGATGACACAGATGCATACAATGTCCATCAATGTCATACAATATGTAGCACACCTATATAACTTCTTTAAATTAAACCATGTTTATTTTTGTACTGAAATCACGAAGTGAAATATTGAATTCACAGGCATTTTGCCTTGAAAGTTGGATAATCCAACCAACTAAAGTTTAGGCTACACAAAGTTAAAATGGTTGAAAAACAATTTAGCTTTTACGCATACAAAATCTAAGTGGCACATTTTAGAATTAATCTTTGGCACATTAGTCTGAAAAAATTTCTTAAAATCGTAAATATGTATTTTCCCAAATGGGTGATTAAGTAACCATTTTAAGGCATACATTTTTGTCTTAAGTAGATGCCAATAAAAACAGCTCATCTACTGATGCAGGCTTCATTTACCTTCAAGTTGCTTAACAGGGTAAATAAACATCTAGTGGCACAAAAACATACTGAATTGCATACTGTGTGGAAGCTATGTTCATGTCTTTAATTCTGTCTTTTTCAGAGGCACTGAGAAACAATTCTAATTAGCAATTTTCAAATCAACATTTGAAATTTCAAATGAACATTTACAAAGCTACCATTATGTACACAGTACAGAAAAGTGCTTAGTCATTTCAAGAACTGGTAGGCCCTCTAGGAAGAAGAGATCCCATCTGTTTGGGAGCTCTGATAAACCTACCAGGATGAGGTGATGTGGAGTAACAGAGGACTTTAGAATGAATAGCATTTGAAAAAGTGCTAATCCAGTTAACAACAGCAATAACAAAAAGTAGTAATCCAGCACCACAGAAGGGGTGAGGTGTCAAAGGAAGTGAAACTAAAATAAAATAAAGGCACAAAACCCTGCGGTGCATTATGGGCAGCTATCACTTCTCAGGAAAACCAAAACAAACACGTACAAAAAAAACCCTCATT